GAGACCATTCAATGGGGGAAAACAACAGTCCTTTCAAGAAATAGTGCTGGGATAACTGGATATCAACATGCAAAAGAATGAAGGTGGACCCTTACCTTACACCATGTGCAAAAATTAACTCAAAATGGATCAAAGATTTAAATGTAAGAGCTAAAATATAAGACTCTTAGAAGAAAACACAGGGATAAATCTTCATGACCTTGGATTTGGCAAGATATGACTCCAAAAGCATATGCAACAAAAGAAAAAAGGGCAAATACCTTTATTAAAAGTAAGCAAAGGATATAAACAGACGTTTCTCCAACAAAGATATACAAATGGCCAGTGAGCACATGAAAAGATATTTGACACCATTAGTCATCAGGAAAATGTAAATTAAAACCACAATGAAATATCACTTCACACTCAGTAGCACGGCTAGAATCAAAAAGTCAGATAATAATGAATGTTGACACGGCTGTGGAGAAATTGCAATTCTCATACACTGCTGGTGGGAATGTAAAATGGTGCAGCCACTTTGCAGAACAGTCTGGCAGTTCCTCGAATGCTTAAACATAGAGTTACCATATGACCCAGCAATTTTACTCCTATGTATATACTCAAGAGAAATGAAAACATATGTCCATGCAAAAACTTGTACATGAATGTTCACAGCATTATTTACAATAGCCAAAAGATGGAAACAACTGAAATGTCCATCAATGGACAAATGGATAAGCAAAATGTGCTTATTAAATTCCATTTAATGGAATATTATTTGGCATAAAAAGGAATGAAATATTGATACCTGCTACAAGTGGGATGAATCTTGAAAATGTTGTGCTAAGTAAAAGAAGCCAGTCACAAAAGCCCAATTATTATATGAATACATTCATATAAACTTTTAGAATAGGGAAATCTGTGTATTATATGATGGAATATTATTTGCCCTTTAAAAAGAAGGAACTCCTGCCATTTGTGACAATATGGATGAAGCTGGAGGATATTATGCTAATTGAAAGAAACCAGATGCAGAAAGACAAATACTGCATGATCTCACTTATATGTGGAATCTAAAATAGTCAAACGCAGAGAGGCAGAGAATAGAATGGTGGTTGCCAGGAGCTGAGGGAGGAGGAAAATGGGGAGATGGTCAAGGGGTACAAAGTTTCAGTTATGCAAGATGAATAAGTTCTGGAGATCTAATGTACAAAAATGTGAATATAGTTAACAATACTGTACTGATTACTTGAAATTTGCTGAGAGTAGATCTTAAGTGTTCTCATTACAAAAAAAAAAAAAGAAAAAGAAGATGGTAACTATGTGAGGTGATTGATATGTTAATTAACTTGATTGTGGTAATCATTTCACAATGTATACATATAGCAAATCATCAAGTTGTATGCCTTAAATATATACAATTTTTTATTGTCAATTATACCTCAATAAAGCTGGGGAAAAAAGAGTAAATGGGATTCAAAGGGAAAAATTCAGGACAAAAAGAGATATTTCACATTGATACAAAGACAAATTATCAAGAATGTATTAGAGTTAAGAATGTATATGCACCAACAACATAGCTTTAAGAAAAACACAGCTTTATGAGATATAATTCACATACCATGCATTTCACTCATTTAACCCATACAGCTCAATGGTTTTTAGTATATTCACAGATGTGTGCAACCATCACCACAGTCAGTTCTAGAACATTTTCATCACCTCAAAAAGAAACTTCATACTCTTTAGCTATCATCTTTTTACCCTGCGACCCCTTCCTCCCTCGGTCCTAAATAACCACTAATCTACTTTCTGTCTCTATAGATTCTCTCTCCCTCTACAGGGCTTTCTGGTGCTGATTGTAGAGGGTTGCAGTCGTCCATTCGTTTAGTGACTTTTATAAACTATTTTTGCAAAGATTGTATTCCTTGTCAGGTATGCTCACTGAAGTCTCTGTTCTGTTATCTCAACAGTCAGCTAGTGACCAGAAGATATTTCCTTAAATGCCTGGAGACAAAAAAAAAAAAACCAAAAAAACAAAACTCCCCTGATCTGCATATTTGCTCTGAGCTAGGACATTCCTTCATTGCTAAGCCAAGCTGACTATAATTCTGCCTTAGCCTTCGCCTCCTGCTTATGTGCAGTCCAAAGATCAGCCAGAAGTGTAAGTCTAGGGCCTTTTCTGGGCATGTGTCTGGCCCTGGGCATGCACATTGCACTCCAGATTCCTCAGTGTATGTGGTAGCCCTTCACAGCTCTTATTCCCCCAAGAATCTTCCTCCTCAGCATCCTCATACCCAGGCTTTCGGGTCTACCTCATCCTTCATTCCTTGCCCCAGGTAGCAATGGGTAGCATACATCTTTAATGCTTCCTTCAGATGCCACCCAGAAAGCCACTCCAACCTGAGTGGGGCAAAATAAAGGTCAGCCTCTGTGCCGGTCCCTTAGGGAGCCACCAGACAGGTGAAATGCATGACCACAGTTTTTAAGAACAAGGTCCAAACTGCTTTCCCTGGCGCGAGTTAGCTGTACTGGGAACATGGGCCATTGTCCACAAGGCTGCTGCTGAGCTGGTGAATAGGGGATGCTAGTCAGGTAAGCAAAAACCATATGGTTTCTCACCAAAACTCAGTGGCCTCTTTCTTCATTAAGCATTCCCTGGTTGACATACGTGTTTGGTTAGATTCCAGAGTTCCAAAAAAATTGATTCTGTCAGTTTTTGCCAGATTAATTCTTCCTGGGGAGACCAATTCTTGCAAGAGACCAATTCTTGGAACTCCCTACTCTGCTAATTCCACGATGTCATTTCTGTTGCAAGTACTTTGGAAAACAGTTTGGCACTATGGAGTAAATCCAAAGATAAACAAACCAGCAATTCTACTCCTCATTATTCACCCTCAATGTCAAAATTGCCAACGTTGAGAATCCCTCACCTAGAGAAATGAGTGCTAATATGCACAAGGAGAATGCTCATAACTGCATTGTTTACAATAGTCCTGAACAGGAAATGACCCAAACAACCTAAATGCCCATCAACAGTGGAATGGATATATTCTTGTATATATATTCAGTGGAATACTTTATATCAATGAAAATGAATGAACTATAAAAACTATATAAAGAAAAGCAAAAAAGTGTTTTCCATAAATATTAAGATAGTGGTCACTTGGAAAAAGGGGAAGGGTTAAGATTGGGAAAGGACACATGAGATCTTCTGGGTTTCTGGCGATGTTCTATTTCTTGAACTGGGTGGTGTTTATGTAGGTGTTCACTTTTTAAAAACTGTACATTAATATTTTCTTACTTTTATGTATATTTCATAATAAAATAGATGAAGCTGTCAGTAATTACAGTTTTTCTTCTTCTATCACACTCCCTACTTTGACAGGTCATGTTCTTATTTGTATCTTCAGTCCTAGGATAGATGTTCATTCATTCATTCATTCATTCACTCAATCATCAATATTTATTGAACACCCACTATAAGCCAAGAACTGTTCTAAACGCTAGGAACACAGGGATGGAACAAGATAGATATATAGATATCTTGTATTCCAGGGTGAAGAGACAGGCGGTAATCAGTATACCAAAAATTTAAAAACGTAATTTCAAAAGGTACTAAGTATTTTGAAAACAAGACAGAGTTATAAAAGAGGCTGACTGGGGTGAGGAAGAGTGAATGGGGTGAGATATTTTAGATTGAATAATCAATAAAGGCTTCTGTGAAGATGGCATTTAAGGAGATAACTGACCTGTATCAAGTTAAGGAATGGGCCGTGTGAAGTTCCAGAGGAAGAATTTTCCAAATAAAAGAAGCAGTTGTTGCTGAGGCTCTTAAGTAGGAAGTGTTTGACATGTTTGAGGAACCTCAGGAAATAAAGTATGGCTAGTGTGGAGTGAATGAGGGAAGAGTAGTAGGAGATGAAGTTAGTGCAGTAGGCAAGGCCTCCATCATGGAAAACCTTGTAGACCATGGGAAGAGTTTGGATGTTTTTCCTAAGTGCCATGAGAAGCCACTGAAATGCTGCTGTAGTGTAGACTATAGGAGGGAAGACAAGCGGCATGGAGACGAATTTAGGCAAGAGATGATGGTGGCTGTGAGGTGGAGATGGTGAGAAATGGATAGATTCCGGATTTATTTAAAGATAGAGTCAAGAATATTTGTTAATGGATTGGATGTGAGGTGTGAGGAAAGGAAAGAATCAAGGATGATTCCTAGGTTTTTGTCCTGAACTACCAAGGGGATAGTGAGAACATTTGCTGGGATGAGGAAGACTGGAGAGTGAGAAAGAAACTTGGATCACAAGTCTTATTTGGGTTATATTAAGTTTGAAATGCCTATTAGACGTTCAAGGGGAGATGTCAGATTGGCTGTTGAATATGTCCCTTCCTCATGGACTTAATGGGCTGGATTTGAGGATATCTGAAGTTCCCTTCAACCATATTAAAAACATTCAACAAATTGACGATTGATTTAATAAATTAGAGTGCACACACACAGTGCTATTGCATGGATTGGCATGCAAAGATAATTTTTAATTGAAAAAAGTAGATTATGAAAGTGTGTATGGTTCGCTTCCATTTTTAAGAATACAGTGTATTATAACATATAGTTCATTGGAAGCAGATAGACTACAATATAAGCAGTCGTCACCTCAGGTGCTGGGATTTAGTGTGGTTTTACCCTTTTTAATTCTTGTTCTCGTTAGTTTAAAATGTCTTCAGTAATCATGTATTACCTGTGTAATCTGTTTCTTAAATAAAGAAAACCCATAAAGGTCTCTTCCAGCCGAGCAGTCGGAGGTTGGGTTATCTGTCAGGTGAGGGATGTCAAGGTGATCACGGACCAGATACATAGCAGGAAAGGCGAAGAGGCCCCGCCCAAGAGCCGAGGCGTGGGGGGTGGGGGTGGGGTGGGGTGGGGTCCAAAGGGCACCGCCCCTGCGCGTCACGTGCTCGCCAGCCGCCAATGGCCGCCTCCGAGCCCACCTTGGGGACGGGGCGGGGCGCCCAGCTGGCGTCACCAGGACAACGGGCGTTGCCGGCGCCTTGTGACTCCGGGCTGTGGGCGCGCTCGCGGCTCTTCGGCCATGGTGAGTCTGGGGCCGGCGCTGGCCCGGCCGCCCCGCCGTCCTGGTCCGTGCTGTGTGCCCCCCGCGGCCGCCTGCTATGTTCGGGCGGCGGTGCCGAGGTCGCGGAGAGGCCGGGCCGCGGCCTGCGGGGCTGCTGGCCAGGGCAGGGCTGGGCGGGCCCGGAGGAGGGGGACCCCTGGGGGACGCGGAACGCCCGCCTGCTCCCCGGCGACCGCGACGCAGCGTTCTCTGCCGTTGAATGTCTGGGTCACAGCTGGGACCCCTGCCCTGTGGGCCGCCGGACAGCGTGACGCTCTTTGGCCCTGGCGAGCCTGGGAAGCCACCCAGCGAGGGTGTGGTTAAAAAAAAAAAAAAAAAGATATGTGTGAATACCATATATATTCATATTAACCCTGTATTGCAGTCTGTGGGCTTCCTGTTTTGTTTCTATGCAGTTATATATAAGCAATATAATACGTAACATGTATTTCTTTTAAATTCATCATTCTGACAGGTCTTTTAGCATGTGGAAATTTGTAATTTTGGAGATTTCCTCCCTCTTTAAAAAATAGGGATATTAAGCTGGAGGTTTTTTCTGAGTGCAGCACCCTCACTCAGGCATTTACTTGATAATTAGTACATTGTAAACGTCTTAAATCATTACCTTTATTAAATAAACTTGAGAGTGAGTGGGCATACTACCTGGCCCCCAGTAAGCTCGTTTTTGAGAGCCACCTTGAAGACTCAGCTGAGGTGTTGGCTTGAATAGACAAGATTCAGGGAATTGCCAACCAAAGGTGTAATATCTCCAGAGGCCTCCAAAAGAAGGCCTAAAAGAGAAGGTAGAAGAGGAGAGGAGCTGGACTCTAGGCTTGGGGACACACCTTTGCTATAGAATATTTCAGAGGGGGTGGGGATGATGATAAGGAAAAGTCTAGTTTTAAGAAACAGTTTTTTTAATCAATCAGTAGTTTAGTGTAGATTTGCTCCTTAGCTGCAGGGGTTAGTGGAAGTACTAATAAGCTCAGAATGCAGAGTGCTCCCCAAGTGCCATTTGGCCTTCTGGAGAGAAAACCTACCACTTGGAACCCTGGCTGGCTCTGTCTTAACTAAGGAGAGGCATGGTAGTAAGAGAAGGTGGATGGTCTGTATCTCTCATTGACTCTGGAAAAACAACTGCCAGGTGTGTGGCCTGTTGATAGCAGAAAAAGAGCATCACCACAAATAACAGCCATCTTCTTTATTTTGTGTATGTTTCTTTTTAATTCTGAATTGCTTTTAAGTGACAAATTAATGGAGCCAGCAAGAGTTTTAGAAAATGAATTTTACAAAAATCTAAAGTGTTTTAAATATTGCAGTAACTTACTTTTATATATTATATGGGAGAAGAGCTCTCACAATTATAGCAAGGAGAAAGGAAGAATATTTAGGAATTAAATTTTCACAGCTCTCTGAAGTCTTATGTTTTCCCTGTTGTCCATTTTCCTTTTCTTCTCCATTGTCCACCCTTTCCATCCTGACATACAGTCCACCTTGACTCACTATTGTGAATTTTAGAGTTTTATTTGCTCTAAAAGCGTTTTACTGTACTTGTGTACTAATGGTTGCCTTGCTAAACTTAGAAATGCTTTGCTTTTGCTTTTTTTGTGTGAGTATCTTTAAGCATAAAGAATTTAATTCATGAAAGGGATTTGCTAATGCCTGGGCTCCAAGGGAAGTGGAGAATGGTTGATATAGGAGGGGGAATGGGGAGGCTGCCTGTGTAATCCCCAAACTGTATTCGAGATCATAACGTTACTCTTCATTAAATGCTTGAATCTAAACATACGTTAGCAGTTGATATAAATGACTTTGCACGTGAATTTTGGAACCCTGCTTAACTACCTAATGAAAATTTCTTCAATTAAGCCACTTGTTTCTATTGCCTCCATAATAATGACAGCTGACATTTATTGTCTATGTTCTTTGTGTGAGACATTTTTCTAAAGTACTTTGTGTGTCTTATTTAACCATCACAACAACCCTATGAGGAGGATACCATTTCCTCAATTTAGAGATGAGGAAATTGAGGCGCAGAAAGGTAAAGTAACTTGCCCAGGTTACCCAGCTGATAAATTGAGCCAGATTTCAAAACCAGGCAGTTTGTCTCAGAACTGCTTATGTAAACACTGGATTATACTGTAAAGTATAGTGTGTCATTATATTTTCCCTGATATGTATGCCATGTATGTGTTAGGAAATTAGTTTTCTTTCTTATTTGGGTTTTAATGTTTTTGAGCACTTATGAATACTTGCGTTTTGTTGTTCTTGGCACTGAGTTCGATGCTACAGAACAGGGTAGGCACGCCCAGCCTTCTCTTTTCCCTCTGCTCTTTCACAGAGGAATTAATGAAGACAGATGATTGGATTAGGGTTCATATTCATGACTGTAATACCCCTGGAAGTTTTTCCTGTCATTTCAGTTTGTGCTCAGGAGTTGGCATCTGCTTTTTGTGAATCACAGAGATCAGTGTTGTACTAAAGCCATTTAGGCTTGAGGGATGAAAACGTTTTAAAAATAAAATTTTATTTTCTGAGATTTTTCCTAATAGTAGTTTTTACATTTATTTTAGTTGCGTATTCTAAAATTGTTACAAAAAGACATCAAGTAATTGTTTAAACTTTAATTCCTATGAATCTAAAATATACGTTGGGATACCTATTGTCATCAGGTTCTTGTTATTGTTTAATACTTTAGCTTATAAGGCAGATTTATTTTTTTGGAAATATAACGTTGTATCATACAGTTTTCCCATTTTAATTCATTCACTTGGACTTTCCTCCTATTTTGGCACTTTTTGTATTTGTCTGGGGTAGGACTTCTCAGAGGTATTGGGAAGCACAAGGTGGGGGGAAAAACTTTGCAATAAAATATATCCAAGGTTTACAGACAGTTTTGGTCTCTTTGTCATCACATGTTACAGTTAAGAGCTTATATAATGATATCTGTGTTAATAGATCATGAAAAGAACAGGTTTCTCTATAAATTTTCCTACTCTGGACAATATTTGTCTCCCTTTTGTCTGCACTGGTGTAAGGGTGGAGTATAATTTTTAGTAATTGTAACAATAACTTTCACAGACTCCTTCCACTGTGCCCAGTTTTAGGTTGATCGCTTCACGTTTATCTCATTTAATCCTTCCAGCATCCCTATGAGATTGACATGATTATACCCGCTTAACAGGACATTAGGCAATTTGCCCAAGGTCACGTAGTTGGTGAGTGGCAGAGCCGGGATTCAAACTCAACCAGTCTATGTCCAAAGCCTGGCATCGTAACCACTGCACAATGGCTTCTTCCCAAATTTGAGCCTGAGCAATAGGAGGAAGTTGTTCTTTACTTAGATGAAGACTATAGGAGGAGTAAATTTAGAGGAGGGATGAAGAAAGCAGGAGTTGGTTTGGGACTTGATAAATTTATGATCCTTATTAGACATCTGAAATCTAAAGACATCTAAAGACACACAATTATGTTTTCAGAAACAGTGTGATGGTATATATTTTAAAAACACAAACTTCATTGAATTTTGAAATATTAGATTTGGAAGAGACTTTTGAGTTTCTCTTGTACAATCCCTTCATTTTACAAACTAGAAATGCTGAGAGGTTAAACGACTTGCCCAGAGTCAAGTAGCCTTTAGTACCTGTTGTGCAGTACAAAGAACCCGAGACATGGAGTCAGGAGATATAAGTTTAAATTATAGTTTTTCTGCTTTTTTAGTTCTAAACTTTGGGCAAGTCATTTATCTGCTCTGAGTTTGTTTCTCTTCTATCAAAAAGGGTAATAAAGACTTCCACTTTATGTTACTATATTGAAAGTTGCAAAAGGTAGACATTGTTTCCACTCTAACGTGAGAAAAGGTCTCTCAGAAGCTAGAAAATCTGAAGTTCTCTAAAAACCCGCCAAAAAGCTAAGGACACAAATCTAAGTGAATTAAAATCCAAAACATAGGGCCGGCCCCGTGGCTTAGCGGTTAAGTGCGTGCGCTCCGCTGCTGGCGGCCCGGGTTCGGATCCTGGGCGCGCACTGACGCACCGCTTCTCCGGCCATGCTGAGGCCGCGTCCCACATACAGCAACTAGAAGGATGTGCAGCTATGACATACAACTATCTACTGGGGCTTTGGGGGGGAAAAAAATCCAAAACATAATGAGCCCTTCCCAGAAAAAAGGAGACACATGGATACTTTCATCTGTGGTGGGACAGCAGGAGGAAGCATCTGCTATAGACAGGTAAAGAGAAATCAGCCGGACTTTTATTGACTGTTATGTGGGCTGGAGGGACCATTTGGAATCCTGAGGAGCCCCAGCCCCAGAGCAAGGCTGCACCTACCTGCCAGCTCTTTCCCATGGGCCTTCACTGACTGCATGGATGTCGTATGCTGGAGGCTGGGACCAGAGGAAGAGAGAGCTGCAAACAATCCTGAGTGGGTGAAGTCTGCTGAATGCTAGGGGCAGGACCAGGAGAGTTAAGAGAAATCTCTCTGAGGCACTAGGGCTTTTGCTAAGTGTAAGGCAGGCCTATGCAGTCTGGGGGTGTGGCAGGAGAGCTGAGAAACATCCCTCTATGACTATCCAGGTTTTCGATGAGGACAAGGCAACAGGCTTTCAGAAGGTAGAGTAAGAGGGCAAAGAGAGAGAGGTCTCCTTAAGGCATAGACAGCATAGGGAGCTACTGGAGAGCAAAGACAGCTTCCCAGCTGGCAGCCAGAATGTAGAACAAAGAAAGATCTTGCACAGTTCAGAAAGCTAGCAGCTAGGTTGTAAAGCTCAAAGAGATCTGTGACATTTCCCCAGGGCTCAGATCCCAACTTCTCCAGAAGGGAGAGTTCTGATCTCACCCTAAAATAATTTTAAGTCAACCGTGAACTGAATCTAACTAATGCTACAACAAATCTCAAACCCAGCTCAACTATGGATTAAAAGGAGTCAGCCTCCACCCCTGCCTCCTGCCAGCAACCGTACTGTCACCATACTTAGTTAC